CTTTTTAGTTCTCCCAGGCTTCAGGCCCTTTGAGACGGTTAGCACACCCACCTCTTTAAAATAAATATCCTTTCTTCTCTATCTCCTTCCCAAACTAATCTAGTTTTCCCAAGTATCAGGGTAGAGAGCTGATGATTCGGCTAATTCATGATCGTTAGACACGATGCTGAGTCTTTCAAGAGATCGTATGCATCCTGAAGTGGAAAAAGACACGAGGCTGACATACATTTCAAGGCAAAAAAAAATCTCATTTTCTGTGTGAGCCGTTCTAGTACCAGGGAGGCTGGAAGTGAAACCGAGGTAAAGCAGGCCTGCGATCATCACGTACATCCACGCTTCCTTCCATGTCTCTCCCTTTTGCAAGTGTCCGCCAAGAACAGAGGGCGTTGTGGACACGGGGCCAGTCCCCCGTGACTCCACTCCCAGCCCACGGAAACACTCCCAGACATTCAAGAAGTCACTCTCTGAGGGTGATCTGCCTGTGGGCAAGAAGAGTCCAAAAAGCACAACTCACAGGTCTCAGGATTATGGCACCCAAAGCCAGTCCTGGAGTTATCAGCCAGGTTTTCTCTTTACTTTCTTTCACACAAGTGCAAGCAGTGTGTATATGTTACTTCTTTCATTTATTATGACATATATTTTTCTATGGTTTTGAACACTGTTCTTTCTTACCAGCCATGCTTTTTCATGTTCTGTCTGTAACATGAGCTGGGTAGGGTTCCTTCGGCCCTACAAACTAGCCGTGCTAGATGGCAGAGTGCTCAACCTGAAATAAACCAGGGAGATCTGAAAACAGCGACTCTCACCCACCTAATGTTGTAGAGACAGGCGGGAAAAGAAGGAAGTAGTGGACGATGGTCAGGAAAGCAATACTTTGTATAATCTAGAGCGCAGTCTTCAGATTTCAAATTGGAGATTTAGCAACCAAAAAATTTGACCCTGATTGTTGAATTTATAAAATGGACAATTACAAATCATGTAATTGTCTAGATGTCTGCTTTCATGTATGTAGTTTACGTTAAAGTAACATGGAGTAAATGCTAAAACCTTCCACGTGTTCATCAATTAAGCAGTGCCCTATTTAATGCGCTATAAAATCAGAATCGACTTCACATTCCACCTCCAATTTAAAAATATGAATCCACTAAAAAAAGCTGGATATAAATCCTACTTGTGATTGTATCACTTCACCTGCTCTAGCCTTACTGTAAGTGACAATGATAAAATGATCACACCCAAGCCAAACACCAGTCACAGCGTCTAGGAGGGAAGTTCATCGTCTGAACTCCATGTCCACTTGGCTGCGTGTCGAGCTTGGGCAGAAGCACAAGCAGTTACTAACTGCTTTTTCAAGACAGAACTTCCACAGGGACAGAGACTGGAGCCGGAGGGATAGTGCAGGCTGACCGCACAGGCTGGGACGTCTCCCTGCCCCGAGGCATCTGTCCAGAGGAGGCCTCCGCTACGTGGCTTCCCCCTCGGCTCTTCCCCACCACCCGCCTGGAAGGGACCCAGGCCTAGACTTATACCTCTTGGAGCTTTTAAAATATTCTTCCTTTATTCAATGTTCTATGTCGGTACACACCCCACACCAAAAGTATCAGCAAACCCTCCGGACTAGCACTAGAAACCGTGCTGCCTCTGTCCATGGCAGTGTGTCTGCACCACAGTAAATTCGTGTGGCGTTTACATGTGCGCCCGTGTCTCTCAGTCTGGACCTTCCACTTTAATCTGCTTGCCCTCATCTACTCTATTAGTAACAGTTCCTACTGTATCATGTGTCTTCTTATAAACCGAGTTACATCCTCGTACAGTGAAACAGACACGTATTCTCTGCACCGCCACGTGGAATGGACCACAACGCGAGATGTGTGGGCGCCGAGTGAGCTTTCCTGTGGCCACTCTCATGCAGGCGTCTAAGTAAGACCGAGCCACGTGCCCGTCCACACTTCTGTGCATCGATGTGACTAAGCTGAAGGACGCCCCGACAGCTGGTAAGTGTCACTCCTGGGTGTGTTTGTGAGGGCTCTGGATCGGTAGGCTGAGTCTGGAGGTTGCCCTCACTAACGCAGGAGGCATGACGCGACCTGCCGGGAGCCTCACAGAACAAAAAGTCAGAAGTGGGGCAGGTTCGCTTTTTGCTTTGAGCTGAGACGTCTATCTTCTCCTACCCTTGGCCATGGATGCCTGGGACTTACGCCACCAGCTTTCCTGATTCTCCAGCCTGCAGACAGCAGGCAGTGAGGCGCCTCCTCTGATATCTTTGTCTGTCTGTCTGCCTGCCTGCCTGTCTGCCTGACTATCTGGATCTGTACCTGCATGTCTGTCTATATCCTGTTGATTCTGTTCCTCTGGGGAACCCTGACCAAATACGCATGTCGTAATACCGTATTTTAACTTTTATGGTTAAAATTGTTGCTAACTGAGCCCGAATCTTCAAAACACTCGCAGTGATCGTATTGTGGCCTATGCTTTACAACGGGAGGTATCAGACTCCTCAACACTGCTCCTGTGATGAACTTACAATAGAAGTCAGCACCTCCCCCACCTCTACCCTCCAAAGAGATACACTAACACAACTTACGAAAGCGGGAATGAGGCCTCCGTGTCTGTCACCACTCTAGTAAAAATGTTCACAATATAAAGAAATCCATCTTTTAAAGATACTGCCCCGGCTGGTAGAGCTTTGTGGATTGAATGCAAGCCTGTGAACCAAAGGGTCGCAGGTTCAATTCCCAGTCAGGGCACATGCCTGGGTTGCAGGCCAGGTCCCCAGTGGGGTGCAAGAGAGGCAGCCACACATTGATGTTTCTCTCCCTCTTTCTCCTTCCCTTCCCCTTTCTCTAAAAAAAAAAGTAAAATAAAAATAGATTTAAAAGATACTGATCTTTGCTTCTGAAAGATACTAATTTATTTTTGAAAAACATTGTTATGATCCTTGATTAAGTTGTGATCCTTGAGCATACATCTTGTTGCTCGTCTGTGTGACAAAGTGAGACGTGCACAGAGAGAGGCCTTCTGCTGCGCATCGGGGCACCACGGCTGCTGGAAGAACCTCTCGGGCGTGACTGCTGGAGTCCTGGGCCAAACCAGCTTTTTCCCAAATCAGCATTTTTTACATTGAGGTCATTGCAGATCCACGCACAGCTGTAAGAAATCACACAGAGGGGTGCTGCCTACTACCCCTTCCCCAGTTTCTTCCAACGGTAACATCTTGCAAAACTACAGAATGACATCAAGAGCAGAATCTCGACATTGATTACAATGTCAAGACCGGAAATTTCCATCAGCCCGAGGATCTCTTCTGTTGCCTTAGAGCCACACCCACTCTCCGCCTCGGCTCCTGGCAGCCCCCAATTCCCTCTCCAGTTCTATAATTGGAAGACTTTCTTTTTAAGGTAGTCTCGTCAATTCATCAAGTGATGTGCGTTACACGGTGACTGAGGCAGCCAGAGTCAGAAACTCAAACTCAGTCAACAGGTGACAGGATTTTAGGTGCATTTTGTTCTTAAGCAGCTGGGAGCCATTATGCCGAAAATGAAAGCACCTGGAAGCTAACTGCAGGGTGTTACTTTAAAGATCAAAACCGAAATCTCAGAATTTCAAGCTCAGGTTCAATGTGGCCTTTCAAGTTGATTAAGTTCAAAGTCCAGAAGATAATTCTCAAGTCCCATGTGAAAAATAAAAAAAATTTTTTTAAAGCCCAGCCAAATGACAGGAAGTCTCCGCGAAGGCATTTTAATAGCACCAGACAGCAACTGAACGGCCGTCTCCAGACCACGGTCAGATGACCAACTCTACCACCGTCAGCATTTCCTTCGGTGAAGAAAACTGACTTTTAACCCAACCACTAATAAGTAGCCTGATTCTAAAGGCTACTGCTAAAAGTCCGAGCAAACGGTCACCTGTTACAGGATCAGTGGGGTCACAGTTATCAGAAGCTGTACAGACTTTCTCTTTCCTGTCAACTGTCCACACATTTGCCAAAAGAGAAATTCTTCCCATCACGAACCTAAGTAATTTGAGGCCTCCCTTAACGGGGATCCGCTCTGAGAAATGTATCAGGAGGCAGTTTCGTCGCCGTGTGAACAGAGGGAACCTACACAGACCCAGATCCATGACAGCCCACGACACTCCCAGGCCGCGTGGTGTAGCCTGTCGCTGGAAGTCTATTACTGTTACTGCAAAGAACCGGATAGATCAGGCGTGTAGAAACTAGAAATGTCTAAGTAACATATCAAATGACTCCACAGCAGATCATAATTCGTTCACATCCTCTACAGAGTCTGTCACAGCAAAATTTCAGTGACGATGACAGAAGGTGCAGCTCTCGGGGACAGAGGGATACAAGTCACGGCAGCTGCCCTCAAGCTGCATGTCCCTCAAGCGGGTGGACAGCAACCCCGAGCTGCTTTCCTGTGCTAATTTTCTTCCCTTGCAAAAAAAAAAAAAAATCACAGCTGAATTTGCCTCAAGAGATGCACAGAACCAATGGGAAACATAAAAAGTAAATTTAGAAAGAGAACAACTTATTAAAATTCCAGGTATTAGTGCCACTGGGATAACTTCATCCCCCTCTTCCTACAGAACTCAAGTTAAGGAGAGAGGATTAAGTTGTCAGAGTTCGTGAAACAGTCAAGGCCGACAAACATATGTTTTCCCCCTTATATTTAAAAGTCACAACTGAGCCCAGGCTGCTGTGGCTCACTGGATTGAGCGCAGCAAGGAAAGGGTCGCAGGTTCAATTCCCAATCAGGGCACAGGCCTGGGTTGTGCCGGCCAGGTCCCCAGTTGGGAGGGCATGGAAGGCAACCACCTACTGATGTTTCTCTCCTCTCCCGCTCTCCCTCCCTTCCCCTCTCTCTAAAAATTAAATAAACAGCATCTTCAAAATAAAATAAAATAAAAGTCACAACTGAAAACACAGAACAGGAATTACTTGGGTATTTCCAACATCGTGAACCTGCTACATTCACAGCTGCGCAAGAAGACTCACTCACCGGGGCTTTCGACCCTCTTGTAGTGGTAGGGGTTGATGCACACCTCTTTCTGCTTGGAGCCGAAGGGGAACTCGCAGCACTCCAGCGGCTTCAGTTCGTGGTGGCTCTGGAGGTCGGGCCAGCGCCACACGCGGCAGTAAATGACGTGAGGCAGTCCCTTCCGGTGGGACACCTGCAGCCTGCCGTCCAGGGAGCGGGGGATGGTCACACAGTTACTGGGCTGCCCCGGGCAGCTCAAGGCCTTTTCCAGTTCCTCCATGGCCCCTTTCTTCTTCTTCAGCTTCTTCACCAGGGCGTCGACCGCCTTCTCTGCCCACTTTTCTTCTTCGTCGCCCTGTTTCCACCCAAGGAGTCTCTTCACGGCTGGACTGGTGAAGGAGAACAGACTTGTCACATTCATGGTGGCAGCGCTGCTGACACACACACTCCTTCCTGGCTTATGGTAAAAGGAAGGCAGCTCCAAATGCAAAAGGACCAGCGAAGGGCTTTTCCTTTATTCACAGAAGATTCTCTTTAGCTTTTAGTCTCAAGATGCTGCAAAGTACAAATGACCATTCCCAGTATTTCAGAAGGTGACCCAAAGTCAGCACCTAGAAGAGAAAAAAGGGGCAAAAATGTTTAAAATCATCTCTACCACAAAACCGCAACTTATTCAAGAATTACTATGGGCCAGGTTCAATCTTAAATGCTTTTATGTGTTATGGTGTGATAGAGGCTGAACTATGTACCCCGTAAAACTCCTGCTGAAATCCTAAAAACCCCCAATGTCAACAAACTTGGAGATGGAACCTCTCAGGAAGTACTTAAGGTTGAAAGAGGTCGTGAGGGTGGGGCCCTAATCTGATTGGATTGGTGGCTTTATAAGAAGAAGGGAGGGATCTCTCTCTTCTCTTCTCCCCCCTCACTGAGGAAAGGACACAGGGAGAAGGCAGCCATCTGCGAGCCCAGAAGAGAAAACCAGACACCAGACTGTCTGGAACCTTGATCTTGGACTTTGTAGCTCCCAGAAGCATGACAAATCTCTGTTGTTTAAACCACATGATCGATGGTACAGTAAGGCCTCACTTAACAATTTCGATAGGTTCTGCAACTTTAAGCAAAGCGACGTATAAGGAATGCAAGTTTACCACAGGCTAACTGATATAAATGGGAGTTCTATGGCGTCTCATTAGTGTTATAAGCAAACACTGAACAAAACGGCGTTATTCAAGGACCTGCTGCATTAAGGCTGTGGCAGCCCAGGCAGACTAATACAAGATGTAGCTCTTTCCTTTCAGCGAGGCGGTGAAAGTGCTGTCGTCTTACAGGTGAGTACACTGAGACACAGTTTAAAGAGCATGCTACCTTTTGCCTGAGTTCTGAGATAGAAGCAACAGACAACTCAGTACAAAAAAAGTTCAAGTTCTCACCAGATACTATGTTTTCTCTTTAGATTCAGCTATACTACTAACGATGTATTTTAAAACACACTCCAATCAACAAAAACTGAAAGCAACAGGAAAAAAATTCAGTGTTTTTACTTTGTTCCTCAACTATTTCTTATGCTAGACGTGGAGACGGTTATATTTCTAACACAAAAATGTAGCTGCATTTTAGGGTGTTTACTCAGTGAACAAGCCTGCAGGTAAGGGAAGAAATTCACTTTGCACTTTTTCACATCTCCTTTTCACAGACATGGATGAAGGGATGCCCGTGAACACACACTTCATTAAATTTTCCAGCCGTGCTGTCTTCTTTCAACCTTCTAGTGGCCCTTCATCTGATGCAAACACGGAAGGCAAGAAAGATTAAAAGAGGATAATGTTACACAAACTCCACTAAGATGCAGTAGCATATATCAAACCAACCTCCTAAAAATAACTACGAAGGCTGAATAAAATGCAAGCCGACCGGGGCTGGGGATGGAGGTGGGGAAACCTCGCTTTTTAAAGGTACCAAAGAGCAACCAAGGTACTCCAGTCCAGAGGGGCTGAGACAATGGACAGAAGGAAAAAGCAATGAAGTGAGCTGAACATTCTTCATTGCTTTTCTTCTTAAGGCATTTGCAAAGCCCAGGCTATGAGTAGCAAGCTAAACGAGGCTAACGAACCAAGCAGGCATTTCAGCAGATTCACAAAAAAATGGAGTTGAGGGCCTGCTGGGGAGGAGGCCCTGGTAAATACCCTACAGACTTTCAGTTCAGATCCGTAAAGACAAACATGACATGGGCCAGTTTTATACTGAATCACAGCCTAGAATCATCTCAGTAACAAACTGGATCAAGGTGACTGGAGACGAGGAGGAGAAACTGACAAAGAGGCAACACTTGCAGATTCCAGCCAAGGTTTTCCCAAAACTGACAACAGACATCTAGCCACAGACTCATGAAGCCCTATACATGCCAAGAAGGAAGGATAAATATAAAGAAATCTACAAGTTCTTCAAAGACATTATTCTAAAGTAAGTACAATAAGGCTGACAGCCAACATTTCGACAGAAACAATGGAAACAAGAAGACAATGAAATAATACGTTAGCAAGCCAAATGTAAATAAATGGCTGGTAACTTAGAAGTCTCTACTTGGTGGAAAAATCATGCAAAGAAATTACTGCGAAGTAAAGATGCTTTCCAACAAACAAAACCCGAGAAAACGGGCTTCCAGCAGGAATTCATCAGGCACAAGGGAAAAGACCCGCGAAAGGAGCAAGGAACTGCAGAAAAGAATGAAGAGTGAAGAATTCCAAAAGCATAAATAAGGGTAAATCTAAATCAATAGCAACTTTACAAAACAATAATCGGAGCCACTTTGGTGTTTGAAAATATAATTAAAATGCATGACCAAAAAAAAAAAAAAGGCAGAAAGGGCTAAATGCAGTTGGTGTTCTAAGGTCCTGGTATTACCCAGGCTATGGTAAGAATTAAATTAATATTATTGATATAAGTTTTGAAGCCATGTCATAATAAATTAACCATTGAAAGAATAATTTAAAAGCTATTAAAAGATAATAGGAATTTAAAAATATGGAATTATTTTTTAAAACAGTGCTAATACAAAGAATCTAAGAAGGGGGGAGGAACAAATAATGGATGGGAAAAATTAAAAATACGATTTTTAATTTTTAATTTTTAATTTTTAATTTATTAATTTTTTAAAATTAATTTTTAATTTTAATTTTTAATTAATCGTATTAAAAATACGATTTAGTCCTAATCCCCAAAGTATCGGCAATTACTTAAATATAAACAGATTAAATTAAGTAAGAGACAGGGGGAGGATGGGAGCACCACCTAACTGCAGTGCACTTACCAGAGACGTTAACTGCACGGAGAGAGGAAGGCAGACAGAAAAAGGATGGAGAAGGACACCTATCACATTCTAACCAAAAGTTGGCAGAGCTATCCAATCCGACGAAATAGACTTTAAAAGAAGAAACATTACCAGAGGTAAAAAGAAACCTTCTATAATGTGAAAAGAGCTGATCCTTGATGAATATATCACTATCCCCACCACGAATATCAAATTTTTATGCATACAGTTACGATCTCAAAGAAAGAGGGAAATTACTGATGCCCAGAAGTCCAAAAAAGGTAATGATAATGAACAGGGGTCGCAAAGTCGCGCATGTCTGTCTATTCCTGCTTTGTGGTCACTGGCCTGTCTCTCACGAGAAGAAAAGGAGGAATTCAATCTTCTCTTCCTGTCTCTGAGTCCAACCCTGTGCCCGGCACGCAGCGCATTCTCAGTAAGTGTTTAATGAATAATTTAGCTCCCGGAAGAAATCAGAAGGCCAAGTGTGGAGCTTCAACTTTGTTCAATATTAAGTGTGAATATTATTAAATACAAATATTATTCAACAGACTGTGTAAGGAGTCAGTTGTTTCCTTTCATTTTTTAGAGTAAAGAGTTTTACCCAAATTTACTGGTTCTTTTCAAGCTGGTGTTATTTTCATTTAACAGAAAAGGAAACAGGAAAGAAAATTATGCTAATATCAAAAGTCGCGCTTGGTCAGCATGTACCCACTGAAATGCTCATTTACTAAAGGTTAGTTTTGTAACAGAACGAGAAAGACAACTTCTATCTAGTCCTCTCTAGTCACAATTTATGAAGGGAATAGATTTCCTCTTATTCTGTATGTCATTTCCTTCTACTTCAAAAACTGCTTTTTTACATACTATAACCAATGATTTTCAAACAGAGGGGAGGAGAGTATTCCAATATCACCAGGGGCTACTGCAAACTCTCTCCCTGACAGATTTGTTACCCAAATAAGTAAGTGTGCAGAGGGGCAGGGAGAGATTAAGAACCAGCATTTCAGAGCCGTGTTTCACCTGTTCACACGGACACTCACTGAACAACTGTCCCGAGCTTCCGCCCAGCACCTGGCACTGGGCAGCACGGAGGTCCACGTGCTGAAGGCACTCAGTTCTCACGCAAGAGCCAGCGTGTAACTGCAATATTGTGTGCCACATGCTCTAAAACGGGTATAACTAATAAACAGATGAAAAAGAGACAACAATTAATTGCAGGGATTTCAGGAAGTTCTCCCAACAGGGACCCACCAGACAGGCCTGCAAGGATGTGTGCGTAGAATTTTGTGAAACAACAGCGCTAACATTTCCAGGGACCACCACCTGACACCTGCTCCACGCACTTCCCAGCTATGGGGGGTTTAGTCTTTGCAAGAAACCCTGCAAAGCGAACGCCGCCATAGCCTCTTTATTTTACAGGTATGGAAAGTGAGATGTACAGAAGTTGAATCACTCGCCCTCAGTTTACACACTGGGCTGAATGGTGGAGCCAGGGTTTGAGCCCATGCTGTCTGGCTGTATGGCCTCAAGTTTTCAAAACACTTTTCTAAATGGCTTGTTTCGACAGATAGGTTCAAGGTGGTGGCTGATGTAAAGGGCCAGTGATCCATCTTGTCCTGCAGACAAGTGGCTGGTTTTAAATCAGAACATCAGCATGATTAGATCTGTTTGAGGAAGACAGCTAAGGTGATGTCCCCAATACAGGAAGTCTTCTCTACACCGAGAACAAAAAATAAAAACAAAAGCTACCACCTCCAAACACTGCAGGGGCCAGTTAGGGTGTGAAGGTCTCGATGCCACTCGCAAAAATTAAAGCGATGAGATGGCAAAACTTTGTCTGCAGATGGGCACAGATGAAACACAAAGGTAGGACGATCACTTGTTTTTTGCCTTACTGAGTCAAGCATTTTTTTAAATACACAGTCAAAGAAGTCATCTGCCTCCCATTAGGAATTCAAATGAGCCCACGATACCATGGCCTTGGCAAGACAGCTCATTTTCTTCCTGCCCCTTTTTGTACTTCCTGCTTTAGTTTATGTCAAAAGTTAAGTGCCCTTATCAGTTTAAAGTGCAAAATAAAAACATGAGTCAGCAAACAGAGATTTCCTTCCCTCTTCTCCAAACACAAACATTTCGCACTGACAAAACATAGCATTCATCTAGGCAAGAAGCCTTAAAAATATTGAGATCTTTGTTCCAGAAACTTCACTTTTAGAAACTTACTCTAGGAAAATATCCCAAACTAGAAAAGGTAGATGTTTTTGTACAAAGATTTTCATCAGAGCATTATTTATTATAGGG